AAATATTTGAGTTATTAATACCCAGCAAAGATCAACTTTAACCATGACGGCAGGGGTATCAAAATGTAGTTTGTCAGATCTGTGGTGGAAAAAGAGATACCACTTGCGGCTTTTAACTCTGCAAGAGTTGAACCTCCTTTCGGTGCTCCCTAAAGTTATTTCTCTGGGGACCTATATGTTGGATTTGATCAGCTAGTCGAGGTATAACCTTTTCAGTAGGGGTCATGAGGTTTGCATGAAGGTGCTGCGGTAGAGCCAACACCACATGGAAAATTAGTACTTGAAATACCTAATAACAGGTTGCATAATGTTCAAGTCAAGGTAAAGAGATGGATGGCCAGGGGTAGAAACAAAGAGAGTGAAAATGAGGTATTAAAAAGAAAAGATATTCAAAATATTAACATTATGTTCGAGAGAAGATTTCAGGGAGGGACAGGGACAAAGAAAGTATGAGAAAAGAGGTAAGGAGGAGGAGAAGAAGAAAGGGAAGAAGAAGAGGGGGAGAAAGAGGAAGGTAAAGAAGAACTAGACGAAGGACAAACAAGAAGTAGAGCAAGAAGTATAAAAAAATGGGGAAAAATGAAAAAATGAAAAAAATGAACAAGGAGAAGAAGAAGACTTAAAAAGAAAAGGAAGCCGCAAGAACAAGATTAAGGTCATAAGAAGCCACATTTGTATCCACACATTTATTTCAATACTGAATATTGATAGAGGCTTAATTCTGAACATTTCTTTTTATAACTTAAAACTTTTATATGTTTCTATTTTTAATTTGTTCCTGCATGTTATAATGTATTCATAGTTTTTATCTAACTTCACAAGTAGAAGAGAGAGAGAAAAACCAGTCTACTACCTGAGAGTGTATGATAAATTTGTTTCTTTTCAATACTTTTCAATAAAATGAAATCAATACAAACATAATTGCAACAGATGATTGTGACCAAAATTGATCTCAAGCACCAAAAAGCAATGGATGTACCAACATTATTACTATTGGAGCGCTTTGAGCACCTTGCAGGGTGGATATCTGCGCTATATAAATATCCAATATTATTATTATTATTATATAAGAGAAAGTCATTGAAAGAATTTTATGAAAATTGTCTTCTCTGCTACGAGTATCCTGGCAGAAGTATATTTTTAACTCTGTAAACAGTTCACGATACTACTGCCAAAATATTGTTGATATATCTTCTATTTTTCTGTCAACTTTACGGTTTCACCTGCCGTTTTTAGCAGGGCATTTCTCGATCATCTTCGTGTAAACATGCAACAGAGATCAGCAACATCGTGCTCGTCGTCAAAAGTTACACGCAGAGAGGAGGAATTAGTCAAGTATGTCTGGAATGACACCTGTGGAGTAAGGTTTGGCAATCCCGAGCTACTCCAAACCCAGCTGTGATGCTCCACCATGACGGACTCAAAGTGATGGGGGATGGGAATTGGATGGTGTCATTTTAAAGGGAAAGATCACTTGGATATTGATTTTGATGATGTTGATGATGATGATGATGATGATGATATGGATGATGATGATGATGATGATGATGATGAAGATGATGATGACGATGATGCTTAAGATAAGAATAAAACACCAATTAAAAAGTAAAAACCACAAAAACAGAAGTAAACAAGAAACAACATCAACAACAATAATATTAAAAATGATGCTGCTGCCGGTGATGGTGGTGTTGATTAACTGATTATAATAACAACACAAATAACAATAAAAAGAAAAGCATTAATGCTAATACATGTAATAGTTATCACAATCATACTAATAACACTCTCTATATGTATGAGCTATTACATATATTCAGAAGGATTTCATTTAAAACAGAAAGTAGAGAAACAGATAAGTGAAAGTTTGAGGAGAATCAGCTATGTCCCCCTAACTAGACCCCCTACAATCCACCACTGTTGGATATCTATTATCAATTATCATACCAAGAGATTTAGAAAATATTAAATATCTCTCTGCTAAATCACACATTTTGGTTTTATTTCATTATGGCACTGCGACTCAATGAAAAAAGATATTAAATTCCTGAAGATAAAGAGACCTACAGTAGGGCTTCACACTGACTTTAAAAAAAAAGAAGTTCCTATGTAAATGCTTTGGGTCCAGATCTAGATTTTGGATGCCGATAAGTCCCATGCATCTGTTGGTGTCAAGCACTGCCTACAGCGTTGTGCAATGACTTATATAATTGTGATACATCAGATTCTGTCCTTCTTCAGAGTCCTAACTATAAACTCTCAACAACTAAGGGATAAATAAAATTAAAAATGTGATTTCTCAAAATAAAGGAATATTTGAAGGATCATTTGTGAGAAATGAAGGAAAAAAAAATCCTAAAAAGTTTTACATATTTAACCCTCCAATTGAATTTTATCAGAATAGTTCAATAGCATTAAAATAGTTTCTCTCATTCACCGTTTTTCATCCCTTTGACTTGAAAAAAAAAACAAAAAAACTACCAAACTGTTCATTGGCAAGAGTAGCCTTTTATCCTTCAATAAACATACATTATTTCCAAAAGAGCGAATAAATATGCAACTTCAAGAAGTACTTTCTTGAATAAAAAATAAATTCTTGTCAAGAAAAGACCTAAAAAGAAAATCTGACAAATTAACTGAATCAGGGGGTACATGACCTCTCGGATATTTCCTGTTGTTTATTGACACATTGTACTTACCGGTAATAAATCAAAGTACACTTCACATGTTGAAAGTTTTCTTATTATTATTACACTATAATAATGAATTATTGTTACAGACATACTGTACCAGTACAACTTTCAATATTTCAATATTGATCACCAATAGCTAAAAATGAAGTATCAATACATTTTCTGACATCAAAGTATTGATATCTTTTTTTACAATATTTCTTTTACTTTCACTGAAACTTTTAGAAATGAGATATATGACTTAACTACTTCCTCTAAATCATAAAATATCAAGAAGTAAATAATTCCTTTTGCTCGTTTTACCACAAGTTAAAAAGATTTTTCTAAATAAACCAAACACAATTGAACTACTTGATCAAAACCATAACTCAAAATATTAATTTAAGTGCGGACTTATCTTTTCTCATTTTACCACAACTTCAAGTGGTTCAACTGCCATTAACAAGACCAATTCTACTCGATCTTTTAAGGGAAACGGTCAATTGTGGTTCATATATATCAATTACTATATCTGACAGTAGTACGGGTACATATCTTGACATTTTATACACTCCAAGTAGTATACGTGGCAGTCAAAATGTCTAACTGTATTGATTATAAATCTTGTATATATTCGGAGAGTACGTCATTTTGACCTCGTTAAGGTACAGCATGGACATCCAAATTATGAACGTTTTGTATTGATTCAATTAACACACACACTAATTAGTAATTCTTTATTTGGTTGAGGGTACGTCATAGAGAAGTTGTATTTGATTTGTTTACGTATAGTGAGCTTATCAAAACAGAACCTTTTGTATTGATTCAATGAACTCATCCTTATTAATGCCATATTTGGTCGTAGTTTGCAGGGGGGGGGGGCAATCCTTATCAGACGTAGTCTGTGACACTGAGTCTGAACTAAGAGACTGAACTAAGAGACTATGTCGACTGCACAGTCTAGTGCACCCCATAGGCTCTGTACCTAAGCTGATCCTGACACAGCCAGATATTAACAGAGCTAGGCTCTGCTCAAGACTTTATGGAATTGTGTTTCGATGTGAAATTAGAGTCTGTGCCTGCAGAATAATTTGATCGAAGGTGAAGGTCGGAAGAGATTTGACCTGGTGAAGGTCTCATGCATACATGTCAATCATTATCAAGTGCGGTTGTGGTGATTCGGTTGCATCCTTTAAACATACTTCAATTAGTAATTTTATATTTAGTTGAGGGTATATTGTAAATCAGAGAGGGAGGGATAGTTGATCTGGGCCAGGTACGGACGGCGCGCACGTCAAAACTAAGAAATCAATTTTCACAAGCTTGCCCGGTTCCTTTGTCTGCGCATGATCGTTTTAAGAATTGATACTAATCTATTAATAAATGTGTGATATCATATGTCCTCTGTACATGTAGGTTTTCATGGTTAGAATTGCTGTTGTCATCATTTGCAGAATATGGTATCTAGGCTGGGGTATTACTAGCATATATCCTCAGAAAAAAGTGCTTTATACATCAAATTATTAATGTTGTTGTTGTTGTTACTGGTATTTTGATTATCATCACCATACATGTAATTATCATCATCATCATCATCATCATATTATCACCATCAACACAACAATGGAAGCACATAAATTCAATACTATGACTATGATAGGCTGAAGACAATACATCTGATATTTTTCTAGAACTTCTCGATCCCTTTATGCCTTTAACCGGAACTTATCCTACTCATTTTGGTGAGTTGTAAGTCCTCCGTAAAATGATTTTAAAAAAAAGAAACTTACAAACGGTATTGTCATTTGTCAGTGGAAATGAAAGTGTCTCAATTACCACATTACTTTTGATCAAAATGATTTATTCACATTACGCGGTTAGAAAATAAAGTCTACAGAGAACATCTTTCCATCCCTCACAACTCTAACTGCTTTTTAGGTTCCATGTATCAGATATGCAGGGCAGTAAACACTGAAAAAAAGACGAAGGGATTTTCATTTCATGTGGCCTTTGAACTCATCATTTAAAAAATGGAATAAGTACCATATTGGCAATACATAGTAGTGCATATTCAATAATGATAATAATTAGATCAATTTAAATAGCGCAGCTACTCTACTGCGCTGTCATTAAAACAAAACTCCTAACAGTAATACTTTATAGACACACAATTTGAAAAAAAATTGGGTAGTCCCCATTTATGTTTCTTGAGAGTGTAACATATTAAAGCTAATATATCTAAAAGTATTCTACAAAGGCCTTAATTCAACCAATTCACCTTTCATTCTTGAGCTACAAAAAAAATTAAAAAAATATGTGTTCCATTACCTGTTGGAGGACTTTGTCTGTAAATATCTCCTGGAGCTGTGCAATCTCAACGACTTTACCCTCGATTTGTCTGCGGAAACGGAAATCAGTGGCAAAGATTACAAGGGTCTTGAAGAATATTGAAGGATTTATTTTGATGACACATCTATGGTGAAAGTATTTCATGTGTAATTAAATGTAATTAACCTTATATTACCACAATGTTATCTCTTGAAAGTCCGGTTTATACATGTATTTGGTAAAAACAATGATAATGGTGGCTTGTTGTATAGAGAACCTGTCTGTCATGCTGTGATACTCCTGACTACACCATGACGCTTCCACTGTGACAGCTCCAATACAGAAATTGGAGAAGAACTTGGTGACTATTGTCATCATTTTGATAGTGGAACATATATTTTTAAGATTAAGAAATTTAATGGAGCTATCAAAATTATCATTACATGTTTTCTACATTAAATGAACCACTAAAAGAAGAAAATTCACCTTAGATAGTCTAAAAACAGTTAATTGAAAAAATAAACTTAATGCTGTGATCGTGAATCCTGAATATTAGTACTCACACACACTATAGAAACCTATAGAGGAAATCTAAGCTATTTCAAATTCTTCAAAATCTCACTCTAATGAACTTTCAATCGGTATAAGAGTCGTAATTCCTTAATCCTTCAAAAACGGTCTACCCAAACTGTATCTGCGTTAAGAATGGGAGATAAAACATAATGTCTAGACTCAATCACTATAACTGTTCTTTATGAGTTATACTTTTGGTTCTTGCTTTTACTTCATGTTCCTTTGTAATGCCTGTTTTATACAGGTTCAGTCATTATGAGATGCAGTGAACCACATGATTGGTCCAGTGAGAGTCTGCTGTTTAAGCACATTTTGTAAAATGTTTGGCGTTGCTATTATTCACATCTCATATAGCTCATTAAATTAAATCATTAGAGAATCCCAAGAAATAGTCTGAAAACCAAAATAATTGCAAAAGTACCCTTGGGGGAGGTATTAATTTTTTCAGGAAGAGAGCTACAGCATATTCATAATAGGTTTTTCTAATTATAAGTTAAGTTTCTGAATAAAATTTGCCTCATGACATGTTCGAGCAATTACAAGACACAAGAAGTATTCAATGTAGTCATGGCCACTAATATAGTGCTCATATATGTCATGTAGTGCTGCTCATGGCACTTTAATAAGTTATAAGTTATAGTCGTGCCGCCAGAGTAACTATTAACGCACAACATAAGTAGATTACATCTTGGAACAGGACGTTAGTGGTGGGCTGGGAGTTGAACCCCATACCTTGTGAATTAATGACCTTTAAAGACAGGATATTCTACCACCACCGTTACAACTGCTGTAATGTATTTTCAATTGCGCCATCTTTTGGTAAAGGCGTACATAGAGCGATTTTCCGGTTCCTTCACCCAAGCATCGTGGACTTGATGATGCATGGTGGGATCTTGCTGTCAACACATCAGGACATTGTGGGAAGCAGATGGCAGTATAAGCAAATCTGAGTTAGTGACAGTAGAATACCCCTGCCTTTAAAGCGGGACTGCACTACTTGTACCTACTTGTGCCCTCTATATAGCAAACAATGCCTAAGCGGTACCCACTGGTTCCCCATAAACCTTTCTCTTATGTTAATTGAGAGCTGATTTGTTGAGATAACCACCTGTCAGTGACCTTGCAGGGAGGTCTAATCCCTCCTGGTCAAACTAGTGCAGATAGGCTTTAAAAGAGTAGATGGTAGGACACGAGGATCCTAGATTATAATTGTACCTACCTCACTTCATCCACCAGGCAGTTCATGTCATTAAATAATCTCTGATTTTCTTGTTGAAACTGCAATGCAAAGGTACGAGAATAAATTGTCTTTAGAAAATAACCAAGTACAGTTATAAGGAAACACAATTCATCATGCAAAATGCACAACATTTTCTAAACATAAACAATTTCAGATAAAAAGGTTTTAAGCAACTTTTCACACTATTTGTAGCGTTTTAAGAAAAATAGGCATGTTTATATCCCAAAGAGGATGGCTGAAGTCTGAAACTGTGAGAAAGAAAAGGAGAGGGGAGTAAAAAATAAAAAATAAAAAATAAAAAAAAGGGATCAGAAAAGAAGATAAATTGGAATGGATCCAGCCCTACCACATCCCCTCCACCTACAATCATTGGCCTTTTCAATTCACATTTCATCTAGTAAGAATGGTATCATCCCCCAACTAACATGACCAAACATTGTGTATGACCTATAACCCTACAAATTTGGTCTGAACGTAAACATATCTATACCATCAACCATCATAATTCTAAGTTTTCACCCAAGTTCTAATATATGTCCATCTTTTTTCTCCCCAACACCACATTTACCATTCGTATCTCCTCAGGTGAGAGTTCTTCATCTTCTTCCTCTTGACTGGTTAGATGCAGGTCCAATGGTGGGTTATCTATAGTAAAAGAAGTACAGTGTGTTTCAAGAAAATTAAAAAGCCCAACTTTCCATTCCATTGTCTTATCAAATCAACATCACGCGCTGCATCATAATGTGTTATCAATGTTACCTAAATAAACAATTTCTTCATCTTCCAAATGACAACAAACACATGATCATTTAGTTATCATATCACAATTTCAAATTAGATATGTCAAAACTGATTCGTGCTTGAGAGTGAGATTTCTTGGTCATTGTAAAGAACGACAAGAACAATAATACAGGTATATAATTTATAGCGTGCCCACATCCGAAGATTACTGATTGAGGCACAATAACAGTGTATATGTGGACATTATGAGAAAAAAAACGTTCAACAGATAATCTTCAGGTAATGAAAGACATATTTTTGATAATCAGATATATTTTTCACTTGTTTTGAATTGTTCTCTGGAGTCTAACTGTGCCCGATAAGAAGGAACTGGAATCTAGAGAATAGGTGCCGCTTTGGCACAGCACAGCCAGTCTTGTGGTCTCCCAACATGACTGGCTACGCACCCGCGTCCAAAAAAAGCGTTGAAAGAGCGCCTTTTTCAGCTATATACGGCAGCATCAACGTTTTCCTTAAAAAGGGGTGTTTTTCAAGCACTGATTGCACAAAAACCAAAAAAAGGGTACCTTTTCAGTTTCACAGGTTTCAATGTTTAAAAAAAAAAAGGGTCATTTAAGAAAAGGTGCGATGCGCCATTGGGGTCCATTTCAGAGGTTGAAGGACGGGTGGGTAGCATATGTGTATGAGGGTGACCCCCCTGGGCGTCTGATGACCTCAATAATCTCACTGGCCGGGCAACCGACACCAGCTCAGGAAGGTAAGGCCATTGAACCTCTCCTTGTTTTGATCAGTGAGAAGCAATGGAATCAGCATATCCCAAATGTTTTGGGGATATTCTGTATTTTATTAAATAACTTTTAGGTTCAAAGATTGTAAAGAAATACAGATTTTCATTTGTTTTTTGTTATGTATTATGATCTGTCATAAAATGATTTGATGTCAGATTATTTATCGTGTTAAAATGAATTACACTGTCTCTTTAACATCAAAATTTTGTAATGTGTAAAATAAATGTTAGGTTCAAAGATTGATAAGAAATACAGGTTTTCATTTATCAGTTGTGTCTTATGATCAATTGTAATGCTCTTGTCATAAAATAATTTCATGTCAGATCATATATCGTGTTGAAATGAATTATGCTGTCTCTTTAAAATTCAAAATATAAATGTGTACCACCACATTGTTTATTTCTACATTAATTTTTTAATTTGTTTATGATGATTTTCTGAAAAATAAAACCTTTCAAGATGAAGAAAAAAAGTATCCCAAGGTTCTTTTTGAAGTATTGCTAGAGTCAACATCAACTGGTACGCTGCAGACTTCAACTCTAGATGCTGCCCCCCCCCAATCAATGCATATGAATCTAGGTATGCAGTGTACAAATAATTCCTTTTTTACAAGTACATCAGGGACTATGCACTGCAAGCATTGTATTTCACAATCGAATAATGAAAGAGACTTGCCAAGTTCATTATCCGGCTCATTGTGACTTCAATAACGACGTACAGTACATACCACTGATGCACAAGCTTTAAAACATGAATATTTGTTTCATAAAAACGGGGCTACAATGTGAATTCAAAATGGAGAAATACGCAAACAACCTGATCAAAATGCCAGTAAGCGCCCAGTCATTGGGACTGCCATTTGTTTTGAAGGACATCACAGAATAAGCACAACCAAACAGTGTCATGCGCGTCCCAGTGTGTGCATCAATGTCTTTGCCATTTGAAACTACGTGCATCTCATCGCTCCATAATTTTGTATGTGTGGGTTATCTCTTTTTGATGGGAACTTTTTTTGACGGTATGCGTAGTAGGAAAGAAAGAAAGCTGCACAGTCCCGAGGTGTCATTTGACCAATTAGATTGCCTACATTCTTGAATAAGTTCTATAACACAAGATAGCTTACTTTTCACTTGATCATCTCCATTGTTCGAAACAGACTGCTTTGACTTAGATGAAGGTCCATCCTGTCTCAGTCTTGATCTGTAAGAAAATTAGAGCAAAAATGACAGGAGATTTGAGAGTGGAACTTTGCACTTTAAAGCCAGTCTGCACTAGTTTGGCCAGGAGGGATTCAACCACCCTGCTGGTCACTGACAGGTGGTTATATCATCAACTCAGCTCTCAATTAACATAAGAAAAAGAGGATCATGGGGGACCAACGGGCACCGCTTAGGCATTGTATTCTATATAGAGGGAGCAAGTAGCTACAAGTAATGCAGAGGGACTTTAAAGTGCAATTTAAAGATGATAAACATGTAGCTAGAGTTATGGTAGAGGACAGAAACTTGTTGAATATGCGCTCATGCTGTTCTACGTGAATCAAATGATGTATGTGCATGATATGCTGATGTTCCCTACATGTCTTCACATGACTTTTAATGTAAATATCTGGAGCATCAGATATTCACAAAATATTACACACAGTTGCTAGTTTTATAGTATATCAGTTTACTAGTACATATTATCATTATGTATGAGAATTTGTTTAAATTAATCTATATTTTTAAAAACAAGTAAAACTACATACACAAATCGATCTCATATTTCAAAATTCTGATAAGATATATAAGTGAAGAAGTTTAGGAGTCTTGTTGTGTGAGGCAGCTTTATTTTCATCTTCACTTGCCATTTGAGGCAGAATTTTATTTAGGCAGTCTCCTGCACCGTGCCTGACTATTTCATTAAATGGATGTTTTCTTGCTTCATTTTGAATATTAAAGCCCATCTGTACTAGTGTATAGGAGGGATTAGACTACCCTGCAAGGTCACATGACAGGTGGTTATCTCATCAAATCAGCTCTCAATTAACATAAGAAAAAGAGGATCATGGGGGACCAATGGTCACCGATTAGGCATTGTTTGCTATAAGTAGTGCAGTGGGGCTTTAAAGCCAGTGGTACCTCAATCCATTATTTCCCCACTACTCACATGCGTTTCTTGTCCACAACACGCTTCACTCTAATAGCTCTCTGCTCACTGTACAGCTTACATACACCTATAATCCAAAGAATGAAGGTTACATCATTTCATTATCAAATATGTTAAATGCGCAGAGAGAATTAGAGAGCTGTCAAATCAACAATGATAATGAACTACCTTCTACCATAAATTTTTGAAAGCATGTTTGTAATCAATGTGTTTTAGGTATCAGATTAGAAATATAAGTTCATGAACACACACAGACTCAACACAATAGAGGGCAAACCCTTCTCTGAATCATGTCCTTTTTATTATTTTTATTATTATTATTATTTATTCTGCAAAAACAAAGGAAAACATTGAATACAAAACAAGACTACATTTGGAAAAGAGTCTATATTGGAGGAACTATCGATATTTCAGGAGATCAAGTTCCAACAGTATCTATCTATCGGTTATGAAAATGAAGAGAAGCAAAAATCAATCTACAATTTTCAGTCTATGAACACACCATATATGTTTTTAAAAGTTGTCATGATGGCAATGGAAGGCTGCTAATCGATTAATAAACTGGCAGACTGAAGATACGTTGTCACTATGAAAACAATTATAGTGTATCAATCATCTTCAAACTCTCATATTTTGGATAGGAGAGTCACTAAACTCATATTTCTAAGATGTATTACACCAAATAAACAACGAGAAATTCAAATGAATCATAATAGTATACAACCATGAAATATTTGGTAATTCTTATTATTGGTTCAGATTTGCAAGATTCCTGCTGCTAACTAATGGAATAAAAACTGGCACAACATTAAATTCTTGTAATTTGCAAAAGTTTCCTGTCATGAAAATTGCTGTACTTTACAATTTGTGAAGTGTCTGGTTTCACAGTAAATTTTACCCCATTATAAATTTCTCACCTTTCAGATAATAATCAATGTTTGAGAATATTAAGAGGGGTTCAGATTTGCAAGTTTCCTGCTGTTTAGTATATAATAGAATAAAAACTGACAATATATTCAATTCTTGCAATTTGCAAAAGTTTCTTGCCATGAAAATTGCTGTAGTTTTATACAATTGGTGATGCTTCTGGTTTTACAGCAAATTTTACCCCATTAAAAGGAATGTCCACCCTGATATTAAATTGGTTTTAATAGAAGCAGAAAAATTAGAGAAACAGGTCAGTGAAATTTTGAGCAAAAACAGATTGGAAATACAAAGGTCATGAATTTCTGAAGGTGCAATCAATCAAACACAAACTGGCAACTCTGTTATGGCGATGTTTCTTGCAAACTCCCCTTTCATTTTCCCCTAAATATTATAATTGCAAATATGTTTTCATACAACCCCTGTATGAAACAAATCTATTGTCATCAATAACTAAGAAAATGAAAATACATGAAGAAGAAAAATTACAGAGCAAATTGGAGAGAAGCTCCCATGATACTTCAGTGTTGCCACTTTGTGCTTCACTGATGACAACTTTACAAAATTCACAACTTTTCTATTTTTAATCAGATATTGCTCACATTTTCATTAATTTGTTGATCTCATTGTCTGCATTTATTCAAATCAACTTGATATCAGGGTGGACTTCCCCTTTAAGACGTTCTCACCTTTCAGATAAGCATCAATGAGTTCAAACACTACTTCTCTATGTTGTCTCACTTGGGAAGGCACATTTTGACGATGAGCTGTATGGAGAGATACAGAACAGAGATATTAGATGAAAGTGGCATTAGACGATATTTGTTTGTTTCACCTGACTGCTAAGAAAGTATGGGTTTGTTTGTAATTAAGCAACCAGGGGACCGACGACTTTAAGTCCTCTCCAAGGGAATTGGTAATGGGGATTCATGCCTTACCAAAGGGCACTCGCTAATCAACTTTGTTTCGTACCCGGGACCTCTAGGTTTACGAGAGAGACCACTGCTCTACCTGTTTTTAGCTTAGGCATTAGTGATATATGCACTGCACTTGGTTAAGATACAATGAGACGGAAAATGAACTCGAGGATTCTCGTTCAGAAAATGAACTCACGGATTCTTGTTCATTACTGTGACTTAACCTGCATGCAGTGAATATTTATATAATATGGACTGGCCTTGAGGGAGATACCACATATATTTCCCAAACTAGACTCATATTGCCCAGAGTCAAAGACGAGGGCAATATGGGTCTTGTGAGAGCAATATATGTGGTATCTCCCGAAAGTTAAGCCTGTCAATATTGTTATTGTTATCCAAATCAGACATCTAGAGCAAATACATAAATCAACCATGACAATCTCATACAACTGAAAAAACATTGTCATACCAGCACTGTGCATCCAGTGCTTCATAATTTTTTTTGATACACTGCAAACAGTGTACCTAATCTGGTGTGATTATTACGTCACAATGCAAAGTGCGCAGGTTCTCGTATGCATAATACATGTAGATGCGTAATGAAAATGACAAAATATGGCAGTGAATATGAGACTTTATTTCCTGCTTTTTTAACACGTGAAGGCCATAGGCTTTTCATGAAAGGTGAATATGGTCTCATATTCATTGATTAGCCCTTACAAACAAGTGTAATATGATTTTGTAAAACCACTGCCCAGGTGTCTGATACGGGTAATAATCACTAATCCACTCGCAAAAATGTATTATTTGTATACTATTGGACTGATATTCTATTACCATGCATGGAGAATAGAATATACCTTCCGTTTTGAAGAGCCTTATTGTGTCTGAGCATGTTCGCATGAAATCCTGGGCGTCTGAGTCTATCTGATCTCTCTCAGCATCCGACATGTGGCAGCTATCATTCACAAGGTGACTTTGGGAAAAGAGATGGTGAAGAAAAATGTATACATATCACATTTCAAAAACTGTCAAACTGTTAACCAATTCAAAACTTGTCTTAAGACACATCTAGGTATTCAAAATTGCTTTTGATGATTAACCAACTCTGTTGACATTGATGTGTATTTCATACATGTAAGTATTGAAATTTATAGGTTTATTTGCACTTTTTTTTTTTTTTTTAAATATGTAATCGTTTATCAGTCTATTTTGTTTGTTATAGCGCTCAGAGACTTCGGTGGTAAGCTTTATAAGTAACGTTTTTATTATTATTGTTTTTATTCAGCTACTGATCATCAAGCAACCAAATTGAATGTCATAGATCACACAATTAGCTACTCATTGAAAAAATGTACAACACATTACATGAAAAATTAGGGGTTAGTCTGGGAATTGTTTTATCTTGATTGCGGTCAAATAATTTAAATTGTCATTGACAACCTTAACTCATGGCATGTCGTTGGATAATGACTGCACATGAGTGATTGCATTTTAAAGCAAAGATTGAAAGACCTTTTCAGAAATATCGATGACAAGTTGCAAAATAAAACTCATTATGACAATTAATTTTTGTTTCACTCGAATCATGATACAAATATTTTCAGGTCATGACAATAGAGAAGCACAAGAAACTCACAGGATAGATGCATTTCTAGGCTACTCTATGATTGTAAACAATAGTCTGATGACTATCAAAAAATAATGAGAAATTCATAGAAATTACAGTTGGTTAAATGTGTTTATATTGTCACCATTTTTTTTAACCTCTTTTTTTTGGGGGGGGGGGGGGGGGGTCAGGGAGTCAGGGGCACATCACAGTCATACTATCCACTCCCCTAAGCTCCGAAATATAAATGATGCATCACTTCAACTCTTTGTATGCTTTTGTCAACAAATGGAACAAGCACTGGGCTGCTTTATCACAAATATAATCCAAGACAATGTGTCAGTCTAGAGTTTCAATCCATTGTGTTTATTATCTTAATGGATTATTATGTACAGTTCAAAAATGAATCATCCGTACATGTACCTTTACCATGTTTTGTAATTGTTTAACTAAGAGGAAAATTGATTTGTCTCAATTGATGTTTCTTGAGAATGTGACATTTTAAAGCTTTCATCTAAAAGTATTCAACAAAGACCCTAATTCATCCAATCCACCTTCCATTCTTGAATTACAAAAAACACCCCCAAAACACATCATATTTACAAAGGGTATGAATAATTCAGTTGTTAACTGTTATTCCCATTGTGATTTTACCTCGCAGCATTGATATACTGTTTCCTGTGCTCCAGCAAGAAATCCTTCAGTTTGGAGATTGTGATCACCTGTCAATATGGAAGGGAAAAAGCAAAACATGATTGACATCGACAATTAAAATGATATAATCAAGAAAATTTGAAGGTGGTGCAATCAAATTACATAATATTTTTCAGCATGCGCCAAATCTGCATTGCTTAAACAATGAAAAGATAATCAACACATTTTACCAAAAACAAAAAACGTTTCAGAAGCAGCATACTTCATTAAATCAATTTTGGGGGAATTTCCAAGTAGACCTGTCATTTTGAAATATTGCCATCATATAAACATGAGCATGTGACTGTTTAAGCACACAAACGATGTCAAGACAAGATTGTCCGACCCTTTGACACACTGCCTGTATAAACCTTACACTACGACCTATGAAAAAGATGGGTAACACTAAGAGCTAATTTGTAATGATTTTTTTTAAGCATCCTTAAAAGGTTAAGTATTTCACTGAAGTGTGACCATTTTTCAAGTTTGAACAATTCTCATTTTTGTCATATTTTATATTTAAGGTACAAACTGGAAAATTATTCTGAAATGTTCGTTGATTTTTCTATCTTATGTGTGTGCAATTTCGTGAGTGCGTCAGTTATGTGTGAAGTGTGTCACCTGTTAAAGCATGAGATGTCAAAATCTTCTTGGTGTGACGTAATATTACGTATTGACATTGCCATTGAACTTAATTTGCGCTTAAGTTAAGTAGGCCCTCTCTCACTTAAATTTGAAGCCACTTGAACAGATCGGCCAATGGGAGCGTGTAAACTCGGAGTACAGCGCTCAATGTGCAAAGTTCTTCGTGCTGCACCAGTGGAGAAACTGCTGAGACAATCATCCCTGTGGTGGGTGAGTGCCCTCTCTACACTACTTCAGAAACAACTTTATCGCTCACTGGCCAAGAGGCATTATTCTTATACAAAAAGGAAGGGCAAATGCTTAAAAAAAATAACGTTACTTGGCTCCTGCTCTCACACCTCTCTTTCCGACTGGATCAACCCCTCACTTTTTCACAATCACAATGACAATTTCTTTTTCGGTTTTGTACTTGAATGTTAAACGTTCCACTATTGTGATGTCGATGTAAACCCGCCTATTCTGTGTATATGTGTACTACTGACACCTGCACCAACTGCAGTTCTCCAAACTGAGAAGAAGAAGAAGAAGAAGAAGACTCCCAAAATCTGACTTTTTGCCCGAACTGATTTCTTGTCCATTTCTTTTGTTCAATGACTTTCACTTTTAACCTCTTGTCTTTGATAATGATATTGAAATTAATTTCTATAACTACTACAGAACATAATCTATTTAGTTTATTTGAAAACAATCTACAAAATGTCCGATTTATTGGACAAATCAAGATGAAAGAACAACAAGGCAGCGCGCGAGCGACTTAGATCACCCCGACGTAATTTACAGCTTGACCTTAGCCGAATCGCTGGCGGGGCTTGCTCTCTATCTCTGCTGGAACTGGTCCGAATATACTTACCACTTCTTTTGCTTTTATAGCAAAGTCGTCCTTCATTTTTTGTGCATGACTCAGGAGGGTTGACTTTGAAGAGTCCTTTCCGACACCAAGAGCTTTATTTCTTGTCCGAACTGTTTTAATTGATGCCTTAAAAAGGGCTGTTCTGTCTGCTGCCATGTTGACAATTTTCATTTCCAAGTCCAACGTCATTACATTTTCAAGGAGGTGTCGGCAAAAGCACAAATAAAAAATGAAGAAAAATACTTATAAAGTTTATTTTTAAAGAGTTTTACTTCTTGCCACGTATGACCAAAATCAAGGATTAAGAAATGAACCCCTTGACTACTTTCTTAATCATAAATTAATTTAAGGGTGCCACATGTATAATAAAGGCAATAAATCTCATTTTTTAAGCCCCCCCCCCCCCAATATAATTATACTAATAATAATGATGACTGATGTAGTGATAATAATAATATTCTTCTAGAAACCCTTTTGCTCTTGACTAGGGTCGTCGCAGATCTGAAATATATTCCTGCAAAAATTGTTTATTAGTACCAGGGGCGGCGATCCCGGGGGACGGGGGTGGGGGGGGGGGTACACGACCCCCCTCAATTTTTTTAAGGGGGATCATCCCCCCTCAAAATTTGAAAAAGTGCCAAAAAAAAAAAAAAATGTATAGCAAATACTGACTAAAGACTGCAACACGCTTTTAGGCTCTGGAGGGCCCAAGAGTGCAGCGTTTAGAAAAATAAAAAATAAAAAATCTTCTCACTCGGTAGCTACGCTCCCTCGCATAATATCCTTCAAAATGTACAAGTAAATACCGAGAAAATTGAAGTGTGAAAAAAATATATTGCTTGTTTTTATACTATACCAACAAGGGCCCTAAGGCGGGCCCCTGGTTGCTCATCTGACCGTAATTAAATGCCTAAAACGCCTGAGCTTATTGGACCCCACTCCAATAAGTGACCTGCCTGCCAGTGTCACAAATAAGGTATCAAAATATGCTCATCTGACCGTAATTAAATGCCTAAATCCCTGAGCTTCCGAGGGCTCCGCCCCCAGGATGCTCATCTGACCTTAATAATGCCTAAAAACCCCAAGCTTCATGAGGTTTCACCCCCTTAACACCCGCCAATATACGCTCTACCTGAGCGTAAATACTTTAGGGGGGGGGGGGGGAGAGAGAGGGAGAGGGAGAGGGAGAGGGAGAGGGAGAGAGAGTTAGTTCAGGTTTCCCCCTTCTACAAAGAGAGCTAGCTGAGAGGGGATATGTTTTTTTTTTTAATCCCAACTTTATATCCCCCACTATATTGGCTTAATTTTCCCAAAGAGGTACAGAAAGAGGCAATTTTAGGGCCTATACATACGTTATTTCTATATGTTGACGGAAAGCTAAAAACCCGGGGCTAAAACACTCCGAGATGAAAAATGCAATACCGTATTCATTTTGCATGATTTTATCCCCCCCCCCCCCTACTCCGAGAACGGAGGGACCGCATGCGTGTTACCAAAATGTCCGGTATAGAAGTACTTTTCGTGCGACAAAGTCTGGCCCGAGAATTGTAAAAAAAGGGGTGTATTTGACTTTTCACCCGGAGAAATTATTCCGAATTTAGGGGAGTACATTGAGCATTTTTTTGGATTTAGGGGGTCTCCAAGGCAGGAAAAGCTCGCGAAAGGGGCGTTTGGAAATGTTGGCAGTCCTCAGATAGGGGGTGCTTTCAAAAAGAGGGAACAAGCATACGCGTACCCTAAATAACACTGATTGGGGGGGGGGGGCTGGGATTTTATTGACAAAAATCTCACCCAACAAATTGGCAATTCAGTGCCAGTCATACCACATAGAGATATCCAGTGTTTATTAAAATGACTCGTGTTGACAATGTCTGAAAAATAATATCAGTTTAGTAAAGGAATGAAAAAAGTCGTTGGAATAATTATTCATTACCAAAAATTTGTTTATAAATATGTAAATATATAAAATTATTATTCTAAAATTCAATAATCGCGCACGAGCCTCAATTTCTTAAAAATGGCAGCGCCCATGAACCTTTTCATAATTTTATGTTACTTCTCCTTCCTGGTTGTCTGTCTTACGGAGGTTTCTTCGAAAATTCTCTCAGAAAATGACAGAATAATAGTTCCTGAACATGAGGAGTGTTATACAGAAGAATGTGGTGTTGAATATAATCCAGTGGAGCCTCTCGTGAAGTGTTCGTTTCTGTGAGTAGTCCCACACATAATTAGTAGGGTGTCTGATCGCGCACTCGATTTTGTGTGCTAAAGTAAAATCCTTCCAATAGAGATTGCGCGCATCCCTAAGTACGTGCAAAATTGGTCAATGTTTTTATTTCAACATCGAGATTCAAACTTGTATTGCTTGTGATCCTGAAGGTAATACTCAATAAATGAGGTGTCATATGAAAGAGCAGGTTTATCTCCATATTTCCAAATGGGCGTCATTTCCGAATTCTAAAAATATCTTGGTCAAAACAGCGATTTAATTACATTGTTTCCATTCGCATTGTATTTGTAGCTCTGAAATCTGCCACTTTTTTTAGAAATAACCCCCTAGCTAGCGATAACTAGTCCCAGTCGTAAGGAATATATCCATGCGCTTATTTTTTCGCTAGCCCCAAGGCAAGGGATCAAAACCATTACACTTTTTAAATACGCTTCCCCCGATTTAGGATCAGCTAAGCAGTAGGAGCGCTGGTCCGAGAATGAGGATCGTCCTCATAAACGAGGATATCCTCATAAATGCGGACAAAATGCGTCCTCATAAAAAATCGTCTGCATTTTCGCGGACGTTTTTTTTCGTTGGCGCTCTGCGGATTTCGGGTTACCGAACCGCACGCTGGCAATGCCAAATTTGGATTCCCCAGGTGAAAATAACCCGTGTTGACCGTCTACTTTTATGGGTTGTCCGTCTTCCCAAGGATTTATTGCTCATAATGTGAAGGTCTCTATACAATTAAGTCAATGTAAAAAATGCATCAAGAAAATCATCCCGGAATCTGTTTTTTGCATCGCCAATGTGCCGATCAAAAATATGGAACATCTGCTTTTTTGCAGACGATCCTTGTTTTTGAGAACGCATTGGTCCACGTTTACAAAGACGATCTTCGTTTATGAAGACGATCCTTATTCTCGGACCAGCGCCTCTACTGCTAAGTAGGAAAGGGGTGAGCTCTGCTAGCTCAGCCCAAACCCATGGCTTAGAATCTGCACATGCATATGCAATTTGGACCGCTTGTATGTGTTTGAGAATTGGCGAATGGACCCGCACACGGAAGACAACAGAGGTGGAGATTGCGATCACGCTCAATTAGTAACATGCAGGGAAAAAATTAATAAAGAAATTTCTGGGGCTACTTTTCAAGCATGCTTGCATGAAAATAACACTTTTTAATTATTTTGTATTGAACTCTATGCAAATTTTGGGACCTCTTTTTTTTACTTTTGGGGGCTCTTTTGGGCATTTTGAGTGCTAATTCGCCCCAAGCCCCCGTATATTTTTTTCCCTGGTAACATGCGCTACTTAGTAGTATGCGCTACGCTTGCATATTGCACAATGCAACTGTTTTGCTAATTTTAGCAAAACAAAATAACTTTGCGTGTTCGTCTTTTTCGTCGATTGTGACAAAAATTGGTTGAATACTGGCTAGATTTTAGGGGCTGTATCTTTTGATAGAAACATCTGTGAGTCTTGAAATTTTAAATGTATTATTCAGAGTAATTTTTTTTCTCAATTATCCAACCGTATAAATGGTGAAAAATGATCCCAAACGTGAAAGGGAAAATTGAATAATCGTTCAGACACCCTACACATACATGTAGCCGCATTACTAACTATCCTGACTGTGTATTAAAAACTGTTCTATTGATTGTCAACATTTCAAACACCACTGTACAAAATTTAACTGAGTTCACTCAAAATCGGTACTTTAGTGACAATTGATGACACCTAAATAGCAGTAAAATTTAATCTTTTCAACTTTCCAGGCTTCCACATGTTCCTGATGATGAGCTAACATGCGATTTATGCTACAAAAAAAACTGATACCGTTGGTCTTACGAGAGTTCGCGATGTTGGTTCCGCCTATAATTGAAAAGGAAGTATTAAATTGGCAACGCAAAAACAGATTTTTCTGTGTACACCGCCTGTATCTGCGTTTCAGGCACACATAGCTGCATTAACTATCCTGGCTGTGTATCAAAAGCTGCGCTATTGATTCTCAACATTTCAAACAACACTGTACAAAACTCAACTGATTTCACTAAAAATCAATACTTTAGTGAAAAATGATGACACCTAAATAGCAGTAAACTATAATGTTTTTAAATTTTAACTTAGAAAGAATAATTTAAAAATTTAAATTGTAAGTCTACTGTCAAACTTGCCGATCAGCCACATCGGCATGATTGTGTGCATTCAAGTGTATTGACTATTCATGTGTGAAAATTCTGCCTATTAACACGTAGTACAGTGCTAGAGGTCAATACGCATTAGCTTTGACTCTCTATGCTTTGCTGGAGTGATTTCAGGCAGAACCTACATCATAAACTCTCATAATGTACCGGTATGTGTATATTTATGCCTGTGTTTTCCTTTTACCTGATATCTTGCTGCATACAGACCTGATGACTTTATAGAGTGTGATGCACCAGAGGATCTGAAAGGCAACGAGACACTGAGGAGAGAACTAGGCACTGGATGCTCAAAGGTAAGCCCACCAGTCACCACGCTTGATATTGCTTACTTAAAATTGTAATCATGGGTAGTTATGGTCACCATATTGAGTTACAGTCAGAGAAAATGCCTCATCAGTCTCGAATTGAGGACAATCTTGCAACTGGAATTCATGATGTTCTTGCAGTTAACAGTCCAATAACGCAGTTCCCATTCAGAAACAAAACACAAACAAACAACCATAGAAAAAAGAAAACAAATATTGTTGATTTTTTCAATTGGATTTGAGATTAAATGATGTTTTTAGATTGAATTTCATAAACAAGAAGCAGAAAAACAAATAAAAGATTAGAAGAAAGTAAAAATGATATTTCCTTGTAGAACATAAGACGTAATGTAAAGCTAATGAGGACACAATAAAATGTTTACTAAAGAAAAACCATTGATTTCTTTAATGTTATTCCCGAAATATCACTTGCACTTTAATACATCACTACCATTTCTCATTTTCTCCCAATTTTTCTGCCTTTCTCTCTCTCTCTCTCTCTTTCTCTCTTTCTCTCTTTCTCTCTCTTTCTCTCTTTTTCTCTTTTTATCTCTCTCTCTCTCTTTCTCTCTCTATCTCTCTGTCTCTGCCTCTCTTTATCTTCTGTTTATAGTACGGCAGAGAAAAATACCAAGATGTGCAGAAATCACCAGTCATCTGCAGAGTTCTCCCAGGCATAGAGTGTCACGGAAATAGGACATTTATTAAAGATAACATTCCCTGTTTAAAGTAAGTATTCTCGAATAAGGTTTTAGTAATTTAGTTCTAATGCATGAAAGTAAAGAACTAAAAGAAATGTTCTTACACTTCTTTTTGTTGCTTATTACTGTCCCAAACTATTTGAGCAGTTGGTTATATTTGTTTCATTTCATTGTGCATTCTGAAAATGCAACCTGAAATCACTGTGGTCGTTTATATTTGAATGATCATCTGTTGATTATTATTGATTAACTCCAAAAGTTGCAGTGATCATAATGATAAACCAAATTTATGATAATATCAATTGTCTCAACTTGTTTCTGAAGCAATGTTCCCATGCTCAATCTCAGTATTTTGGTGGCTTGGCTAAAACCAGTTTAATGTTTATTGATAAAGTTGAGTTCTGGTCATGCAATTGCATGTGAAAGAAACAGTGTGGAATCGATCAGAAAAGGTTGATCATGTAGCAGATAAGTATTGGTGTGTACTGCAAGGTTCTGGAATCATCAAAATTATAGAAATTTGGCACAAGCACTGTACACAGAAAGATGTATATTGGACTACGCACACATGTGAATAATTTAGTTATTAACTGTATTTTATCATATGTTACCAACATCAAAGCTTTAGGTGTACCTGACGATTCTTTCAAGTTTGTTGAACTACTTGAGCTTCAACTAGACAAAACAAAAAGGAAAATAATACTTGCTACACATGTCCATTTTGTGTAGTTTCTTGATTTATTATTAAAGTATGAGACAGCAAAAGACCAATTATCTTAAACTTGCCCTGTTATTTACTGAATGAATTATGTATGTCACTATGTAATTCTCTCTGTGTCTTTCAGATTTGAAGGCCAGCATTTCATCAGTACCCTGATATTTTCCATCTTTCTGGGGTTCTTTGGAGTAGACCGATTCTGCATGGGTCATGTCCCAACAGCAGTTGGCAAGCTTCTGACCCTTGGTGGATTGGGGGTTTGGTGGATCGTAGACATCGTTCTGCTTGTTACAGGAGGACTGATGCCGGCTGATGGTAGTAATTGGTGTCCATAGACAATTTATGCAAGAATCAAGTCACGTCCCCACAGCAGTTGGCAAGCTTCTGACCGTTGGTGGATTAGGGGTTTGGTGGATCGTAGACATTGTTCTGCTTGTTACAGGAGGACTGATGCTGGCCGATGGTAGTAATTGGTGTCCATAGACAATTTATGCAAGAATCAAGTCCCAACAGTGGTTCCAGACTACTTGAACCTGTAATTGAACTCAGGATAGACTGAGGTTGGATAGATCTTAGGTATAGTTCTTCTTGTCAAGTCAAGGGAGGACCGATGCTGGTGGATGGAAGTGATAAGTGTCCATAGACAATTTCTGTAAGAATCAAGTCCCCACAGCAGTTGAGGTAATACTGAATAGTCGACTCCAGACTGTTGGGTCATCGTGGATTGAAGAGAGTATTCATACTTTAAGGCTGATGCAAGGTTTAATGGAAATATTATCTGCAGAGAATCCTGAATATAAAGCAAGAGCTAACCAACAACAATCAAACCTGGTCTTGAGGATTGTACGTCAAAGGTTTATCAAGGATTAGCAAGATTGTCAGAGATTATTGTGCCACATGACTTTTACCATTGCATTTTATGACTGACCAATTATTTACGTAATGAAAGGTTGCCAAGTGCCTTGATGAGAATTGATCCTTATTGAAGAACTGCTGGTGAACATCACTGCTCCCTCGCCCTTTTGCAGGAAGAAATTGACTGCATGAATGTATGCAGCACATCACTGGGAAATACTCTTCAGGAGTATAAGGTGTCATGATTATGTGAATTGGAATGGACCTTATGAATCACATTAAGAATATACAGTGTAGATATTTGAGAAGCATACACACATTGAGAACTGAGCCAAGTGCCATTTGTCTAACATAAACATTTATTTAAAAAAATTAGAAGATTTTTACTGTTGATGTATTTGCTAATGTAGCAGAGTGAGATATATACTGAAGTAGTGCAATATTGTATGTCGGTGCAGCATTGGCAGTCGTTGTCAACGAGAAACATGGAAGAATACCCATTACCGATAGAAAAGGAAGGGCAGAGCGTGCCCGTGACTATTATTACACTTCTTGTGATTCTAGCTGGTATGATCGCTATTATTTATGCAATGTTTAAAACAAAGACCAGAGGTTCAACAGCTAGTGAAGGAGATTAAGGAAAGAATTTTTTTCTACGGAACAGAAAACTAGAGCTTTCTCTCCTTGTTGAGAGCCTGAAAGGCATTGACTCTTGTTAATACTTTTCTTGCTCTCAACTGCTCCCTTTTCCTTTCTGTTTGGAAAAATAATTTTGTTCTCTCAACTTCTAGATGTACTTTAGACAGTATGAATTGGGCTCCATAAGTCCCGACGATATTGGGTGTTGCGACTTACATGTATACATGTATGTCTGCTGGTACATGCATGTCAATTTTAGAGCTCCTATACTTCCATTCTAACTACAGGATAGTTTGATCTTGGTGTTTTGCTATTGTACATTCTAGGTACATTTTTGTTTGAGCTATTTAAATCCCATTCAATTTTTTTGTGACGAGATTGCCTAGGAAGATTTAAGTACACTGCACATCAGAAATATGTACCGGTATATAATATATGATGATGAACTAAGCATTATGAATAGTCCCAAAACACAATCAGATAATAGCAGGAATACATGTATAAGTTATTTAGAAAAACAGTTTTCTCTTTAAAAGTGATGATATTTTCATATCCACTTTGACTTAAATGCTTGTCAAATGAAATAAAAGAATTGGTTTTGAAAATGTTAGTACTAGTTCTGTATTTGTACTGTCTGAATGTAATGTCTCCTTGTAATGTAGCAGAACTAAGTATCAGTGTAATTTGGGTACTTCCACTTATAATTTTGCTGTATGTGATCAAATTTATCAAAATATAAAATGTAACACATTTAAAATTATCATTCAAAATGATTACATGGTTTTAGCTTTAAAGCGTACCAATCACAGAAAAAGAAATTGTGTACAGCTAAAATGTATAACTCCCACCCCCCCCAAAAAAAAGAACATGTTCTTGATGGAAGGGGTTCCACGTGGCTATACTATTGTATCATGGTAAACCAGTACATGAGTGCTTAACAATGTCCCTCCAATATAAATATCCCCATACCCCCTCAAGTGAAAATGGTGCACTCGAGCTTGCATTACATTACATGTACTTGTATTTCTAACTTGAAATTTCTCTTTTCCATTTTCTCTTTTCGATGGTTTGACCTTGTCCATTGAATTCAATTAAGAGAAAAAGTACATACATGTGACATTTATTGTAATTAGATGTCAAATGTTAATTGTAACTAAAAACTAGCTGGGCTTAATTTTCTGAATGAAAATATTCTACACTGTGTCTGAAATTTGTAGACTATCCCTCTCAATGCATGTTATGTATATCCTCTCGTCCAAATTGATAGGGAGATGCTGCATGTTCCGTTGAATTGATTTGTCACAGATAAACTTTAATTTAAGTTGGAGACAAACAAACAGGTTTAAATACACCTACTAAAAAAGGATGTGGAAATAAACACAAGTCCAAATGATATTTTTATAACCTTTATGAAGTTTGAACTGTGTTATTATTTACATCTGTATTAAACCCATTAATTCTTAAATTAGTTGTTTGTAGTTATTGAACATTATGGTATTATTATTGCAAATCATCAGAGAGAGTGATTGAGTGTGTGAGAAAGAGAGATGGAGGGAGGGAGAGAGAGGAAGAGAGAGAGAGAGAGAGAGAGAGAGAGAGAGAGAGAATTTATATTGTATTGCATTTATTAAGTTACAGTAGAACTGCATTAAGCTAAAAGCTGATTTTTACCAAGGTTGTGAATAATAATGAAATATTAGAAATGATGCATACAAAGGCATTTGAAAGGAGAGAGAAAGAGAGAGAGAGAGAGAGAGAGAGAGAGAGAGAGAGAGAGAGAGAGAGAGAGAGAGAGGGGGTGGGGTTAAAGGAAAGATGAAGTGAGAGAGGTTTAGATGCACCTTTAATTCCTTGATATGAAATTCTAGGAGTTCAGATGTTATCTCTTTATTTTGACATGTTTGTGATGTTTATTTGAGTTATACCATAATACAGTTATTGAGTACCAGTAGGCCTATTTTGAATCTATGAACTATTTGCATATAGAAAACGATACTTGATTGTAGTTAAAATTCTGTAATGAAGAGGAAAATACACCCTAGCACAAAGGAGTCAAATCTATACTAATTTTGGAAGGAGTATTTGATTGATTCTTTGTGATACGTATGGGATCTACTGGTTGGACAAATTTAGATGCCCCCCTCCCTCCTCCTGTAATACTGTGTAGCCGTTATATTTTGTGACATTTAATATTTATTTTCCATTTGATGGTTTTATATTTTCCTTTCCATACTCTAATTTTTTAAAATCTCTTTTACATTTCAACTCATGGCCTTCATTCTTCTCTCCACCTTCACACATCAATATCATTGCTATTAATGCCACACCTTGTTTCTTCCATTCCATTTCCACCCCATCATGCTGCCATTTCATTCCATTATTATCACTTCACATGGTTCATTTATATTCAGAACACCTCATGATCATCCTTCCATAATTCCTATTAGTTGTTCCTTTTCCCTGAGTTCTTCCATTATTCAATTTTTATGTTTCTGATTTTGGTTCTTTATTTATCATATTAATGTCATTAATGTTTTCAGTAGTGCAACTCAGTATCTGGTCTTGTCAAGACATCATTTTATATTCGTCTCCTGTAATTAGATTAAGCTGTTTATTTGAGAGCAAGAGTTCAGTATTTGAGAGAAGCAATTATATCCGCTTACAACTGTGTGAAAACATAAATTTCATTGGCGATTGTTGAATTTTCTTTTGTGATTTGTCTCATTTAATTGAACAACTACTTTGTTTTAGGAAACTGGTATTGAAGAAAATTGGACGCAAACCTAGTCAGAAATTCGTGTACCAATGGATTCCCGGAGCTTTGTTGAATTAAAACCAACTTGGAATACTCATGGTCCCTACGACATTCACGTTTGTTTGAATTGTGGTTTTGAAAATGAAGAAAACGGGTGAGTGTTCGGGTAGGTTCAGATGAATGAGGCAGTGCAGTGCAGTGGTGGGTCTCCTGCCTGCCTAACTCCCAGGGAGCTCCGCCGCCGCCGCGCTGCCTTCGGCGCAGGGCAGCGGTGTTACTGAGTTACTGCCTGACTGCCATGAGTTTGACTGCGGAAACCGAATCCAAGCTAGCCAGTGACTGATGATGATATATTAAAAATCAAGATGATTTTGTTTCACAATGTTATATAACTAACGGTTCTAAGGAGTAACAGTATTTTAAACACTAAGAGTCTAGTTAGGTTAGACAGCAATAACCATCTGATTTGGGTCATTTCTTTAATAAAACTGACATTTGTTGTCATTCCCCAATACAGATGGCAACCCAGAGATCTCGTACCGTGTGGGTAAATTAGAGCCACAGCGGAACAGCTTTTCGTTACCGACATTTTCTCCCCGATTTTCTTTATTTAGATCTAATTTTCTGATTTCTAAATCAGATGTAGGTCTAAATTAGGTCGGTCTATATATCTCCTAATTACAGTTTTCAAAATTTGCTAACCTATTATAGAATGTGAAATTTTCGGACTTACTTATATGAATTATCCAATTTGTATCTTAGAAACTGTGAAACTACGTTCATGCACTCGAAAATAGAGCTATATGACCCGGCGGCCGGTATATTTCTGGGTCAACCTACGCCAATGGCCAATCAGAGCACTCGTTTCGTGGGAGTTCGTTGGTCAAGCCGGGCCGACTCGTACGTAGCTACGGTAGCTATTGGATGTTCGAAAAGAAAAAATGAATATTCATCAACTAAAACCAAGACGGATAATGTTGTCGACGAGACTTTCTCGGATTAATCATTAATTTAGGATCTAAATGAGCAAGCTATCGTAAGTCAAATAAGCTATATATCATGATATATGTTATTTTTAATTTTTATTATAATTGCAGCAGTTATGAGGATGTAAAAAGTGAACATTTTGTTGCATATCTCATTCATCGCGGTCCGGTCGAACCGAACCATTTGTTCTGTACAGTCCCTCACAGTACGAGGTCCCCATCCTTCAGTCTCTATAATCGGAGGTCTAGTGGAGCCAGATGTAGTCTCAGTGGAACAACCGACGATTAGAGAGACTGAAGTTTTCGGTCTAAGACTAGGTCTACTTCTATCTAGAGTAGATATCTAGGTCTAGACTAGACCTAGTTCTAAAAAGTGTGGGATTGGGAAAAAGTGTGTGTGATTCATTGGAACCAGCTTAAACCGGAGACTACCGCCCACACTGAGCCTGTAAAATTCAAAATAGCCCTGACTCACCCCCCCCCCCTTCTACAAATTAATCCACCTTATTCGCACCTCTAGTTAAAACTCAGACAAGTATTTTGGAGGACCAACCAACCAAGTAGTAAATAGAAAGTAAACCCATCAGAATAAATAAATTTAATGTTTACAGAAGAGTCCCAATATTCACTTCAATTAGGTCATTGATAATGTTTGTTAAATTTTAAAAGAAAGCAGTTTCCTATGCTAACTCTTCAGAGTCAGACTTAAAGATGATATTCATGAGGCTCATTTTGTCGGTACATGCATCTTTTCTGTACACTTTCCTCCCATTTCGTCTTTAACACTACAGTTCTCAAGAAGAAGAAGCACGTTGCAATTCACCTCAGTCGGTAGTCGTCCTCCTCTCCACCTCCGACCAATCGAACCCAGAGCCGTGCATGCTGCGAATCCAATGTAAGCCTGGAGCCGAGGTGGTAGCCATGGCGATCCTGAGCAATGCTCGTCATGCAGAGGTTCATGATAACATCGATGGCTACCTGAGCACATCGAGAGGACAGAGGATAGAGGCGGAAGGCAAGGAAGGAGACGAGGATAACGACGTCATCTATAAGAAGGAGATCAAGCTAGATAGGTCTCATCGCAGTGTTGAATTAAAGGTTGATAGTTATGATATTTCAGTCAAACCTGCTTTAGTGACCACCTGTCTACAAAGGCCATATTTGTTGTTTCCCTTGAAAATGGTTTCTCATTGAATCATGTACTAAAGGAACCTGTCTACAAAGGCCACTTGTTGTGTTTCCATTGGGTGGTCGCTATAGACATGTTTGACTGTAATGTATATGTTTATTATAAAGGCACTATAGTAACACTCAAATCAAGAATGAACATAAATAACCCAAGACAGAGGTTTAGAGATAAAATGTATAAGTTCCTCAGAAAGGGAGTACAGATGGAATTGGCCGGGCCACTGACAGATAGGGCATATTTTTGTAGAAATTATCTTTTATTCAAAATCTGGGATATATTTATATGTATTTATTCAGCATGGTCCACAAGGAGTTAATATGTAACAGTGACATGTGGACAAAACTCAGCTACAGAAAAGCTACAGGTTTGAAAATCCATAACTGTTGTGGATTTTCAAAGCTGAAAAAAAAAAACAAGTTATTCATTCACAACAAAAATTATGTATGAAATAGTAGTTGTGAAGTGTGTTTGAAAATGTTTCATAATATGTTCCAGATTGCACCAGAGTGGATCTAAGAACCTTAGAGAAGTTAGAGCCCCATGCCTCAAGGGACGTTGTGCTTTGCCTACATCATCAGTTCATACTCATTTCCCATTCTAATTTCCCATATTTGATTTTTGTGGATTACCCGATTTATTGCTTCCTTTCTTCTATCGAACAGTTTGTGTCTTTGGCTGATGAGAACCTCCTCCATCTTCATCACATTCACCTTACGTTGAGAAGGAGCAGCAAGATGCCTCTTCTTCAAGGTCGTCATGGCAACGTAAACATGGACCACGTGCGAGGTCTTCTGGCATCCCAGCAGCCCATTTCAGAGGAAGCAGAGAGTCTCATGAATACCGTTGAGCAGTACCAGAAGGTTGGGGAATATTTGTTACTCAGGCTTTCTTTGCAGGAATTTTTTAAAGCAAGACCGATCTACTCGTACATGTAGCTACTTGCGCCCTCTATAAAGCAAACAATGCCTAAGCGGTACCCGTTGGTCCTCCATGGTCCCCTTTTTCTTATGTTTATTGAGAGCTAATTTGATGAGATAACCACCTGTCAGTGACCATGCAGGGAAGTCTAATCCCTCCTGGCTAAACTAGTGCAGACAGGCTTTAAATCTTTGGTATTATTGAAAGGTAGTTTGTAGGTTGAAAATATGCAGTGACATGGTCATTACATTTGAGGTGGTGGATGAGAAAAAATGGTAAGATTCCTGTAAAGTGAGGAAGCTGTGTAATTTTTCATACTACTTGGGAAACTGTCAAATCTGCTTTAAAAGCAACCACTTGTATAGAAACACCACATATCAATAAAGAATGTATTTCTTGTTTCTTATTACTGAGCTGCACATAAGGGATGGGTTCAGATTTAACATTTTACAGTTTGTGTGCATCAGCCCTAAGTTAAAAAAAAAATGAAAGTTATGAGGTTCGAAATTCGATTTTGAGTGCCAATGTGTCCTTGGCGTCTGTTAATGTTGAGCCCTGCATTTAGAATTGATTTATTTTATTTGATTTGATTGTATTAAAGGAACCTGTACATTAAGACCAACTGTGTGTAGCAACTGATTTTCTTATAACCCTTGAGTGGTCTTTATGTTTCACTGGAAGTAGCGTAGTTTGAATGTAATTTTTCATCATTTTCCATGTGTACAGAACCAATCATCTGTAGTGCAAGATTTTCAGGCTGCTGTGGTTGAATCCGCAGCCAATCAAAAGTCAGTAAGCAGTGATCTAGGCAGTGATCTAGGCATGATGGGACAGATGGCTAGTCTCCTTTCAGGCTTCTCCCGGAGTGGCAATCAAGGCCAGGTTGCTGCTAGTCCTAATGTGATGCTCAAGGTAAGAAGCCAACATATTCCTCCATACCTCTTGAAAAAGGTTAAATAATTGTCATATAGTCTTACTGTATCTAAGTGGAAAATGATAGGCCTAGGTGCTTTGTTTTACAAAGAGTTGCGATTGATCCAAGTCATTTACAAGTCCTCCAATCAATTGCAAGTTTGCAGTCTCTTATGATCTCCTATGTACATAGCAATGGATATCAACTCTTTTAAATACGGGGCCCAGATCTATAAAAAATTGTTTTATCCAACTGAATTTTCATCACACTGCCAAATAAGACTATACAACTGATCATCGAAAAAAGATTTTGGTCGTTCAGTAAAATGTAACTTTTTGTTTGGTATATTATCAGGTGTCTGGTGATGTCAGGGCTACAACGGTATTAACTTAGTGGTAGAGAAGTTATCTATTAACAAGAAGGTCACAGATTCAAAACCAAATGGATGTTCAAGTGCCCTTTTGTAAGATGTGAATCCTCATTACCAAGTTCCTTGGATAGGACTAAAAGTTGTATGCCCATTACTCTGATAGTTTCATAGTTCCAAATTAAGAAAGAATCGTCCAGATGCTGAGGAAATAGTCCTTTAAAGCTGGACTGCACTACTTGTAGCTACTTGCGCCCTCTATATAGCAAACAATGCCTAAACGGCACCCGTTGGTCCCCCATGACCCCCTTTTTCTTATGTTAATTGGCAGCTGATCTGATGAGAGAACCACCTGACAGTGACCACACAGGGCGGTACAATCCCTCCTGGCCAAACTAGTGCAGACAGGTTTTAAGGGAGGCAACTTCAAGGACTGTGGGTGTGACTGGTTTGTTAATTTAGTTTTTTGTGTACATTTCATATAGATGATGTCATCATTTGGAGGTGGTGGAGGTGGCGGAGGGGATTCCCCTGGTAAAGAAAGCATGTATGGAGCCCTGAAGATGATGTGTACAGATGTCACTAACATGAGGTCAAGAGAAGAACAAGATGCCAAAAACAAAGCCAAGCAGGACCAAGAAAATAGGTATGTAAAACAACTTCCATACTTTATGTTCACATGCGTTGATGCATGTCACTTAATGTGTTAATGCGGTCTATTTAGTAGGTCCCATAGTTTGAATCATCATGTTTGTGTTGGGCTCTGATTCAATTACATGTCACAAATATGTGATTTAAAGCCAGACTGAGAATTACTGTTGATATTTAAATCTTGAATTAATCGGTGAAGACTAGCTTCTGCATATTTGGGCTCCAACTCTCAAAATTTACTTTATGCTAATTCAATAAAAGATGTAAATGTCTTCAAAAAGGAAAATTGCACCAGCATTTGTGTAGGTAATATTGACCTTCCTCACTTGAAGGATTTCGAATTATATGAATAAAAACTGAGGTATTTTAAAATTTATTTGTTATCAAATTAATTATTATGGCATATCATAAAACATGCTTGTCGATACTCTTGGCACTGATACTTACAGGTTTCCATTTTACTAAGATTTAAACCATTTATTGGAAGTTTAATAAATGAAGTGAGACCGTTGGTTTTTACTTTATTGAATAAAACTTCGTCTCAATCTCAGTGAAATAGAATACAATCCATCGTGCTGTATTTTGTCTCTCTGTTTGACATAGCTTTTGTGAAATACATCGCCATCTTTCCTTTTCTCTTTTGCGATTCTCTTTCTAGCAACAACAAGGAAGAGAAGACCGATCAACCTGGCGTGTCCCAAAACTCTCTTGAGAACCATCTTGAATCATTCCTTGCCAATATGGAGGCCAAAATGATGTCCAGGTTGGACGCCAAACTGGACACGTTACAAGCGCACTTTGACCTCCGCCTGAATAAGCTGGAGAATATGCTCACCGAGCTTACGACGCAGACAGTACAGAAGTCAGCAAGCAGTGATCTAGGCAGTGATCTAGGCAGTGATCTAGGCATGATGGGACAGATGGCTAGTCTCCTATCAGGCTTCTCCCGGAGTGGAACTCAAGGCCAGGTTGCTGAAGCCAACGTGAATGGCCATGAAGACTGAAGAGACAAAACCTGCTGTCAAGGAGAATGATCAAAGGGCCTGTCTCTACAAGTACTTGTAAATTTGTACTCTTTCGTAAGGAGGCAGTGTGGTACAATCGGAGCAGCCAGAAATACCAAAATGTCCTCCATGCAGGCTCAGGCTCAGGTGGAAACACTCCGTTTCTCGTACTAGAACATTACCTGGAGGCCCCGTATGCAGGAGAGTCACATCCTATGAACCTTAAGACACTACACTTATTGCAAAGAGTAAGGTGTTAACCCTGTGTTTAGTGTCCCTGCATACCAAACTGGTAATCTTTTTACAGATATCGTTGTGATAGGCTGCATAGCCCTTTGAAGATCAACAATAGAAAAAGAAGAAAACGTGTCATGTATGATATCCAAAGGCTGATTCTGCGACATATCTGATCCTGAGTCCACTGACGATTGCTCTCCCCCAGTTTCTAACACCACTGTTAAACCAGGGGTGGTGTTCTGAAAATGATATTATCATTTATGTTCATAAGATATGAATTATAACAAAACATTGGTTAATGTCTGCCCAAAGCTGGCTGTGTTTAAGTAAAGTTAAATGAGACATCGGCGCATGCAAAAATTATAAGTGTGATTCTGCACAATTTCACTTTCCATTGACAATTTAACATTTTCTCCTATCATCAAAAATAAGATAGTTTTCATAATACAACGTCAGAAATTAACAAAAATATATAACATCATAAAAAGTAGACACTAAACTTCTCTGAGTTGATGAAATAAAATGTGGGTCAAATTTATGTGAAATATATTTGTTGGATCATCCACAAGTTTAAAGCTTAAGCATTTAAACAGTCATCTATGAATGAAAAAAGAATAAACTTCTAAAATTACTTATTAAGTTTAAGTAGGATAAGAGAAGATTTAGAGCAATCTTTTGTCAGGTGTCATTTATCAAATCATTTTCTTATCTTTTAATCCACTTTAATTGCTCCTCTATCAATTAAACCCATAGCAGTTCAGAGTTTTGTAACGCTTAAAACTTTATTGAACCGCTTTTCCTCCCCAGTTGTTTGTATTTTCCACTAGAAGTACAAAACATAAACGTGAATGGAAATTCCAAATTACACACACAAAAACTCAAGAAATTGCCAATTTGTACACAAAATAGTGACTATAAATTTCTCTGCATTGCTGATTCAGAGACTTCAATGATTATTCTGTATTATATTGGTCTTAATCACAAACGGCACAATGTAATGACTCAGAAATGGACACAAATTTTCCATTGAACTTTGCACTTTCTTTTCGTGTACAATTTGCATAACAGTGCAGACTAGATGAAAAGTTTAAAAATGAAACGTCCCTAAAAGATAACACTAGACTCAGTAGACTGCAATGGGTTGAAAAGAATTACAGCAGTTTGGTCTTTGCAATTTTTTGTCCAGAGTAGACTTTTAGATCTTGCCCTAATCATATTTCATGATTACTTTCATCTGTGACATTGAAACAACTCAGAGAAAAATATTTGTTCACTCCAGTGTAAACAAAATTAACAATTAATGGAAAGAAAACATAATACATGTAGTTGAACAGACATCGATATTATCTGAACTGTTTGATTATATTTTTTTTCTTATGCAGTTTCCAATGGCTTACAAGTTTGATAACAAAAGATGTGCATTCCATTATTAACCTGCTAAATGTTAATCATTTTCATTTTACTGAAAATATTTGTAGATACATACCGGTATATGGATTATCAGAATTATGCGAAGGTCTACCACAGACAGACAATAGTAAAGTGCATAACAGATTGATTTTGTTGTACAGCACAGGCAGTTGAATTCGACGGCCGAAATGAAGACAGAAACAATTTCACGACAGCTAATTAGTAATTTATCTGATTAAAAACTAGGTTAGTCACACCAAGAATAATCATACCAGGTACTTGTATTTTCATGAAAACAAATTTTATTTGATGTGAAATCAAATGGAAACACATATGATTAAGTGGAAACTTACCTTTGTATTCACATTATACAGAATTGGATGATTCAACTAAATTGCCGTACAGATCAAGATTTGGTGCAATAATTTTATAGATTTGTAATAAAATAATTGCAATTCATAAATTAATTTGAAGTGGTTTCCTTTCTTTTTCTGATTGTCTCATTTTTCAACCACCCAAAAAGTGCCCCATTTTACATTGGAAAAGTGCCATTTAACTTTTTAAGAAGTGCTATTACTTTGACAAGTGTCCCTATTAATTTTTTTTTTTGTCTCGAAAATTTGAAAAATTATATTTCATTCATTTGGGGCGGGGGGGGGGGGGGGGTTAGGTCACTTTTTTTTGGTCACCCTTTAGCACCCCAAAAAAAATTTAAGGGGGGGATTCCTCCAAAACACACATACGGGGGGGGGGGGGGGGGGGGATTCCACCCCAACCCCCCCCCCCCCCCTGCGTACGCGCCTGGTTGTAAGTCGTGAGAATGTTCACTTCTAGCTTTCTCTGCTAAATAATTCGAACAATAGCATCAACTGAGCGGAATCAACTGTTAAAATAAACGAATTTATCATGAGTCCTGAAAAATAAATTTGTTACTGCGCTTGTCGTAGTAGATTAAAGAGCAGCAATGGCGAAAGATTGTTGATATAATTCATAAAGCGTTGCCTTGATTGCGTTTCCCTAAAAATTACCATGATCGAGACATAAAGCTAGATAGAAGTATGATCTACAAAAATGAAATTGTCTAGAAAACATTCAGAAAACATTAGAATTAGGATGAATAAGACATATAATGTGATTATGTAAACAATTACATTTTCCCAAGTTAATCATCCAGTACCAAATGACCATGCAAGCTCGAGCCAGATGCAAATAGGGGCAAGCTTAAAGACAATTATTTATGACATATTGTTTACTGTCATGATTGTATTATTTAGTTATTACAAAGATAAAGTAATTTCAGAACTTTAGAGGGCGGTATTTATATCATGCATAACAATCGGTTGTTTTTGTTATGCTACGATAAGATCAGCATACTGTAGGCCCTACTTTAAAAAAAAATTGAGACAAAACGGAAGTTATATGGCAATTTACGGTTTTTAGGAGTCGTTATTTAATGAATTTTATAGATTTCTGACGGATTCGACATCGGATTTGAGTTTTGAGTGTGCAATTATGACGAGAAGTCATCAATACAAGGAAGAAGATAGAGAGAGAGAGAGGGGGGGGGGGGGGCGCCAGGGAGTCGAATGTTATAGATCGAGATATATAAAGATGGAATCTATCTTGTATGTTTTTTCCTTTTTAAATTGTTACAATATGAATAATGATATGAGGCATTCAAACAGAAGAGTATATGATAGAGAAAAAGTGACTCGAGCATGTTAGAAAAAGATCGACCCGGATCGAGAGACGGGGGGGGGGGGGGGGGGGGGGGGGGTGGGGGGGGGGGGGGAGACAGATACAGATCGAGAGATCGAGAGAGGGGAAGAGAGCTTGAGAGGGAGCTAGGGAGAACGAGAAGGAGAGAGAGAGAGAGAGAGAGAGAGAGCAGGGGGGGGGGGTATTGGGAGAGGGAGGGAGAGAGAGCTGAGAGATATCGCGGCGCCCCGATCGAGAGATCGAGCGACGTACAATGCAGATGGGGAGAGAAACTTCATAATTATCCTCTATTGATGAATCATGAATATAATAATCTTGTTAAAAAATATTCTGAAAAGTTGTTATAGGTCTGGGTTAGCCAATCATACCCCTCTCCCTGTACCCCTGCAAGCACCCCCCCCCCCCCACCGGTGTGCAAATTTCACGTACTAGAGATATCATAGCGCGTCTAGATGCCGCAACATAACCTACGTTAGCGCTGCATGTGCAGTAGGTATAGGAGTTAAGCGCGGGCGTTGCAATGTCATGATTAACTGCGCTCTTCATTTCAAAGTACGGTGCATGCACGTGCGACGTGCGTGGGCAAGATTTACATAGCTAGATGCGGATATTGAGCGAGTGCGTGCGCGTGCGCGGAGACAAAGTCCACCATCTTCGATCTCGGCTCGTTGGACAAGGTCGTCGCTAGGAGGAAGGCGGGGCACCATATATTCGGTACGCATTTTATTTTCTTCCATTCATCCTTTGCAAGCATAGCATGTGTGCATATGAGAGAGAGCTAGAGATAGAGGCGTGTTCATTCAAACTGCATGAGACATTGAAGAATGCCAGGAACTGGAATCAAAGAAAAATGTTTAGTAAACGGGCAGTCAAGCTTTGAAGGCAAAGATCCTCACGACGTATGTATTAATGCCTTTACAATGTGGATTGGTAGATTAGATTCTTTTCTCTGCTTGGACTTGGTCATGATCATGTGTGACTAGTATTTAGTAACGAGTAACGGTAACACCGCATTCTAGGGCTAACAGTTAGGCCCTACCGGCGCGCCGGTTGCCGGTTGGGCCTAGAATGTGTGTAAACTGTGATGGAATAACTGTGATGTGATGAATGAATGGGATGGAATGACCTGCCTAGTCTAGATCTAGGTGAAAATATATTTAATGAAATATGAATTATGAAAATAAGGATCATCTGCATTTTCCCAGACATTTCATATTTTTGATCGGCGCGTTGGCGATGCAAAAAATGTTTTCCGCTATGATTTTCTTGATGCATTTATTTTTACATTGACTTTCACATTATGAACGATAAATCCTCGGGAAGACGGACAACCCATAAAAGTAGACGGTTAACTAGGGTTATTTTCTTACGACATGTATTGTTGTCTATGGCTTGCGATCGCGACGTAGCAGAGGTCAGGATTTGGGATTTAAATGGCGCCAGTGAAGTCGTGTCCACTACTGGATAGGCATAAATCACAAAGGCGGAAAATGGGAAAAAATTAAATGTAAAATGAGCAATCATGACATGAAAATTAGGTACAAAATGACAAGTTTAGTAGCTTGCAAAAACGTTTTACATTTTTTTTGCCGAACATCCAAACCAGGCCTTTGCGTTCGGTTCGGTTCGGTTGGGAAGTGCCATGTTCGGTGAAATTCCGTTCGGTTCGCCGGTTCGCCGGTTCGGCTACAGCACTACCAACGAAAAAAATACACGGTGGCGACGGGCGATTCGCCCCCTAAACCTCTGAAATCGCCACGGTAAAAATCAAGACGAGGGCGAAAAAAAATCAATATATCTTGAAAAATCGCCCCCGCCATAAATTGATATTCCCTATGAATTAATAAACCAATTTATTGATGTGTCTGAGTGAAATCTCCGTTCCAACTACCAACTCCAAAACTAGAAACTTCCATCAACATTTTAAAAGTTTTGTGAGTTGCAGCGGATCGGCGGTCGTACCTACTGTAGCTAGATCTACAGCGGTATCCGCCTGCCTGCGCCTAAGCTCCCAGCGGCCGGACAGGCCACCGGCCAGGTAGTTTCGTGCACAGCATGAATGCATACGCAGTTCGCACACGTTCACAATACACAGAAACGTACTAGCTCAGCTCCAGCGCGCGCCCGCACGCTCCTTGTATGAAGCAAATAAGTATTTGCGAGTGACGAGAGCTCAACTGCTAGCGACCAAATTGGTACGTAATATGTTTATTTAGTCTTTTTTCTGGCCCTAATTTTTATCATGGACAATGCAATCCCATTAAAAAAAATGTTATTCCGTCTAAAATTGTGTTATTTATAAGTTAAAACCATTAAATGCGAGTATATTTTTACTGTTGTCCCACATACTGATATATTTGTAATAACGAAACGTGCAAAATCAATGCCGGATTTTTTCCTGTAAAATCGGTATAAAGCAAGTTTCGTACACAGAAATTGAATTTTGTTATAAAAAAACCGTAAATAAATATATAAAGTATGTTCCTACTCCTCAGAATCTTTCTTACAACTGTTTAATTAAATTAAATTATTTATATACGATCGATGCCAGGCCAATTGTCATGAGTGATGATGACATCAATTTCTGTCTCCGAAATGAAACTAGCTTTGGCTTGGCCTTTAGAATTAGAGTCTATAAAAAAAAAAATAAGGCCATGATTTTGCATGTTTCGGCATAACAAATAGACCCTACATCGGTATGTGGGACAACAGTAAAAATATTTACTCACATTTAATGGTTATAAATGGTCTAAATAACACAATTTTAAAGGGAGTTGGTCTACATTTTTTTTTAATGGGATTGCATTGTCCATGATAACAATTAAATTTGGGACAGAAAAAAAGACTAAATAACATATTACCTACCAATTTGGTTGCTAGTAGTATGATGGCTAAGGAAAAACACAACTTATTGTTACAGCTTACAATATGGCTTTAAAATATGTAAATCATAAAGCCACACGTTTAACACAAAGTGAATAAATCATGGGTATCTGAATGTCTGCAATACTCTACACGACATATGTACGCTACAATTGTATCTATATTTGCCTTTGCTTGGAATTTAATTAGGTAAAACCGCGTTTAAAAAAAATACAACCTTTAAAAAAAAAAAGCCCCCCTGAGCTCCAAAATAGCCACCGCAAAATAATTAAGGGGGGCTATTTTTTTAAGGGAAAATCTGAAAAGAGCCCTCGTAAAAAAAAAAGTAATTTTTTGGTTGAGCACTACTTTATGCCTTTCTCATTAACTTTGGTTGCGAATCTTGTAGATTGATGGGCAAGAATGCAATAAATCTCTCAGAACAACTAAAGTTATTGTTTGGGGATAATAGTTCTCTAAGATTAATAAGAGGCTGCTATTCGACTGCAGCTGCATGGAAGAAGAAGAAAGGGTAGATTTTATTTTTCCATAAGATATGGAAATCTAAACAACTGCCATCATCCATCATGAATAATGATAAGAATATTAACAATAACAATTTTAGTGCATTTAACTCTCTACTCTAGACTCTGATTAAAACAAATGGTCAAATTGGCTCCTACTGTGAGTACTGGTCTGAAGCATGGTCGCAATGATTCTGAGCCGTTTTAGGAAGCATGAAATCCCATAAATTAAGTTGAAATCTAGATTTTGTTTACATCATATGACTATTCAGACCTTCTGTCATAAATATTTCATATGTTTGAATGTTCTTATGAAAGGCAATCATAAATTCTTCCAAAGTCAGAGGGGGGGGGGGGGGGGGGGGGGCTACATCCAGCCTGTGCCCTCTTTTTGAAACCCAAGTGACATATTGGTACATGATGTATGTACATTGTACCTTTAGTACAAAATGTGCCCCCTTGGAGGGGGTGACCTCTATGTATGGGCTTGTGTGTGTGTTTATTATTTTTTGTTTCTAATTTTATTTGCCACATTTTAAAAGCAATCCTTTTCAGGGGACATTTCTCTAGAGATAATCTTCCAAACCGACACAAAAAGGACAAGGAACCTCAAACTATTTTTACCTTTATCCCAACTCAACCCTTAAAATTGTGTGTGTACTCATTGATACAAAAATTAACACTGTGTTATGGGTAATGGAGAGACAGAAGCAAAGATAACAGTGTATTGTATGTACGTGACCCCTCGGTATTGTTCTAACCTCGGCTTCTGAGGATTCGGTAGCAAGGTTCACACAACACAGGGTCTGTAAAGTGGAAGTTATGGTCGTAGTTATAAATGTAAACGTTATCTTGTAGTAAGGACTTTGTGGATGCACTCGTGGTTGCAAAACTTTCGTTAACTTGAAGTTACAAACCATAACCGATCTTAAGTGATAACTACGAGCAGATGGGGTCCTCACTTGAAGTAATGTGCCATGAGGACGCAATTAACTTTGAGGTTATGCCGGCTTGTAGTTTAAATGAATGCTTATTTCCCCAGCTTGTAGTTAACTTTATTTCGGTTCCGTGTGAACCCTCGTCTTTGCTTGTTAGTGGAACATTGTTTTCAACTTTGAGGTTTCGCAAACTTAAGGTTTATAACTACCATGGGACCATGTGAAATTGTGAACATAGCTAATATAGAGTTCATTGATCGAAAGTTATTGCATGAAGGTGAAGTGTGAAAGAAAGGGCACAAGAAGAAATTGGGAGTGGGATTGCTAGCATGGGCTTACTTCCATAGCTTCCCCTGTGCAATCAGGACTGAATATATCATGTGCAGAATTGTTTCTGCAGGAGTGAATGCCATCATTATCATGTACTTTTTTTTGGGGGGGGGGGCTGAAGTTCAAACTTATTTAATTTTTATGCTGCCCCCATGCAATGCACCCAGTGCCAAAGCAATGTAATTTTCCACAGCTCAACAAACACCTGTACTTTTTATGTACGTTTTTTCAAGTGTGTGCTTGAGGTAGCTTGGATATGGCCAAAATACTCCTGTCAATGTGGTGTGTTCATTATCTGTTTCGAAACACTTTGAAAAGAAAAGTTCAGCGGCCTAATGTCATAAATTGAATTTCATGGGGTACATACTGTACATTGTACCTCTGACACATGCAGTCAGCTTCCCTCAATTTTCTTTCTTCACCCCCCCCCCCCTACACCACCCTACCCCCTAAACCCGTCTCCTCCCAACCAGTTTGAAATAAATTAGCCCGCCTTGCCTTGTATATCATGCATGTACACTATTTATTTTGTTTTTAATACTTTTAGATATTACCTCTGCTCCTCTAATCCTTTATATTTTTTGGAGAATACAGTCTACATTGCTCTTCTCCACCCAGGTGTGAAATGTCAAGGTGGTTGGATAAACAGGTAAACAGGTAACTGCATGGCTGGATTGCTCCACAAAGGAGCAGAAAATATGCCCTGTACAGTACTTTGTGTCCAGAATTGTAATTGAATCCAGTGACCAGCTTGCTAATTCACTGTATTAAAGCACTTTGGTCGGTTACATAATATACTGTACATGTATGTGTTTGGAATGTTTAGTTAATTTAACCGAAAAAATTAGATTAGTGATATTTAACATCTTAGAGACAGCGAATCAGTTTAATTGGCCTATTTGGGAATCCCCTTACAGGGACTGCTGGTCTGACCACATATCATAGTTGAAACATGAATTGGCTACTGTTCGCAATTGCAAAATATATACCCCCCCCCCCCCGCAAAAAAAAAAAATATATATATATATATACATGTATATTTAAAAAAATATATATATATTTAAAAAAATATAATAAAAAAGATAAAAAAATAAAAAAAATAATAATAAAAAAAATAATAATATTGGTAAAGATAATAAAAATAATAAATAAATACAAACAAAAAAAAAGTTTAAAAAAGTAAAAAATTTAAGGTTATATACATGTACATGTAGGAAACTATTGTTATTCTTGACAAAACCGTTG